CAATACAACAGCTGTAACATGTCTAAAAAGCCAAATTATCAAAGTGCAAGGATGTAACAAGTAAAACACCACAGCACCTCCAAGACAGGAGTGGACCACTTCTCGGTTCAACTTTTCAAATGGATACTGTAAGGGTTGGTGTGAGGTGTGACCCAGGTGCAGTGCAGGATATACAGTAGGCAGTAGGCAGAGATGGTGAAACAAGGATCTTTACTGGTGGTCCCGAAGGCAAAATACAAATAACGGACTTATCACGATAAAAGAAAGGCGGAGCAAATAAGTCTCCAAAAACTGGCTGACAGCCAAAATACGAAATACTACCTAAAACTGAAACAAATAACGAAACAGGGAGAACACTTCTCAAGTACCTGTACATAGGTCTCCGATCAGACACTGAGTAGTACTGCTGGACATAGAGAAACTAGCAGAGGGCTGTTTTGTGAATGGTGCATTAGTAATCCTCTGAGCTCACATTGAAAGGGAGAAGGGGATTTAATTGGGTGCATGGATGTTGCTGATACAGAGGTCTTGGGAGTTGGTTCGGTCTCTCGTTTTCAGGTCATTTTTGTCCTTCTGTATGGTTCTGTGGTTCTGTGGCTCAGTCTGCCTTCAGTCTGCACAGTCAGGCTGTCAGGATTTTTCTTGCCCGTTTATTTTGTTCCACAGCAAACGTTTCATCACCAGCCCTTATATGAAGATTTATACCCACCAAACCACAGCCACATGACGCACAGACACAAACATGTACACACAATCCCCTGTGGATTCACCTATGAAATATTTTTGTTTGCTGCTGCCAAATGCCCTCTGCACTGAGCAGGACCTTGGACAGAAGTTGTGGGTCAATATTTGCTGGGCGCCACACTGCCCCCAACACGCACAGTCCGTGGCTCGCTCGCTCCAATTGGCAGTTTGCACAAGGCATGTTGAGTCAAAGGTGACCCTGCACGTGGCGACTGTTTACTTGCCGATGGTGATATCTGCCTCTTGTTAAACCTGGGTATTGTTCATTAGTCACCAAACGGAAGAAAACGGACTGAAAAAGGAAAGGACTACCTGGTCTTGACTAATAAGAAACACTAAGTTTCACTTCCTGTTGCAAAACGTTTTAAAAACATTTTCAGTTGAGTGCCCTAATGAACACAACTTGCTCTGTAAAACTTTAGATTTCATGATGTCTGCATCTTGAAGCCCTGCTAGTGTGTTTACATACTTTAAAGGTACTGTTTGCTTTAGCTTTTGCCCTGGTGACCTAATGGTGTAGTCACACTTTCAGATGGAGAATATTGTTCTGACTGTACTTTATAAGGGGGTCACATTATTGTAATGAAGATAACATTGACATCCATTCTCAGTTTAACAACACCCTATGGAGAGTGAAACCCCAACCGATACAATATCCCTACCGGGCACCTGGTCATTAGAATGTTATGCAGAGTCTGGCCACAGCAAAACATATGCTACAGGTAGGGCCTGCAGTAACACAGAAAAACTCTGGGCCCTATTCTAGTTATATAGCCTATAACATTAGAGCCTAAAGTCTTTCCTGGTGAGGTCACATCATGGTCAACCTACATAAAGGCCTAGAACCAGAGAGCTATAAGCTACAGGGTTTGTTTGCTCCATCCTCTCATTACTGGAAGATGTCTGTAGAAGACACTGGATTTAGAAAGACACTGGGTTTAGAAATGAGCATACTGTCTGTCTGAGCATACATTTCTTTTCCAAGTTTCATCTTGGCTAAATTACAAAAAACTACAGTGTATTCAGGTACAGTACATTCCATCTGAGTTTGGTCAGTTTGGCTCTGAGGAATCACAGGGCTTGACCAGACATACCAAGACGCTCAGAAGAGGTGGAGAGTAGACCCACACCAGTAAGCAGACTCAAGTGTACACCGTTTGGTCTGGCTTGACCAGACAGAGTATAGTCTCTCTAGACAGACGGGTTGCTTCCTACAGTATTCTGTTGCCCTATGTCTGGGGTTTCCGAGATTAGAGTGAATTTGGCTGAAGTTATTCCATGGCTGAACCACAGTACACTGGATGAGGACTGAGGAATGCTCTTACCTTTAAGGGAGTCTTTCAGATCCACTGACACATCCCAAAGGATTTGGGGAGGTTGGACAACCCATCTTGAATATAAACAGAAGCCATGATGAGATATACCAGATACAGAACACTTGAAGTATATCAACAGTGGTCTTCATAAGCACTGGGACAGTGAGGTCAAATAATGGGTACTGGCAGTACACTCAATTTGGATTTAGTATCAATGAGGAGTACAAAATGACCTTATGTCTGGATAATTCCCTGTATGGTTAACCATTCTTGAATCTCCAACTAGAAACTGGGGAGCTATCACTTCCTTAACCACATTATCTAGTCCATATCTCCCCACTATCCCCCCTCTCTGCCGCAGGACCTCTCCCTCCATGCAGCAGTGGAAAGTCTGGAGCCTGTGTGCCTCGTGAGTGACTAGGGATAATTACCTGGTGCCACCTGAGAGGTCCAAGAACAACATGAGTGTCTGTAATTAAGAATGGCATGCTTCTCTGGGTGAGAGAGCGCAAGCCCGGTGAGACCAGACCAGAGAGCCCGACAGCAGACAGACTGATGAAGCCCCACGTCAGCATTCCAGCCGTACCAACGAGACAACGAAAACCCTACAAACCCCAGACACAGAGTTTCACTTGACTCGACACTTGACTTAATAGGACAGTCTTTCAGGGAAAGTCTTGTCCCCCCTCAGATGACTGGAAGCAGTTTTAATTCTGCAAGGTATCTTCAAACTAAGCATACATGTACTGGGTTGTAACCATCTTTTACAATGCATAGGACATTTATCAACATTTACATTTCAGTCATTAAGCAGACAACTTAGAATCAGTGCATTCAACCAAGGAAGGTAAACCAACCACAAAGTATAAAGACGACAGAAATAAGCAAGACACTAGAAAAGCGATACCATTGTATGATGTTTTATTAAAAAGTAAAGAAAACATACGTCAGCCTGGCTAACTCCTCCCCACTAGCAATTATTGATCAGAAGGTTTACCATTGGCAGTGATGGCTGGGGGAATACTATTTACCTCAAAACAAAGAAAAAATAGAAGATCTAAACTTCAAATCCATATCCTTTATTGGAAAATCTTTACATGTGAGCCCCACACCTGTCCAACCAATCCCGACCCCAGTTGAGACTACTAATATAAAAAAAAAAAAGCTGTGTAAAATACTTTAGTTCCTCTGGAAAGAAAGAAAACATTTACAACAGACAGGTATTCTACTGAGGAGGGCAGTCACTTTTGCAATTGTTTAGATTTGCTCTTCCATCTATATATTCAATGTAATTGAACAGCCAACAATGAAATCTCAATCATCTCAGATACAGGAGTTGAGTAGTACAAACAAAAACCTCAAAGCGCTTTTTAAAACTGCCCAAATTATAAGAACCAAATGAAATCAGATCGTAGGATTGATGATTCAATGACAGTGTTGGAAAACCTCCAACATACCGCATAGAACTGTACATACAGAACAGGCCATAATCAAGACATCTGCATTGTATATCACTACCTAACCTGCGGTCTGTACATAGCTACCCCAACACCACATCTGAGAATTACTACAAGGCCCTTAGCGCTCTCCAAGGTGTGATTATGATACACAGTATGGTACACACTCTAGCGAGAGGGAAGGGGTGTTTTAACACCTATCCTACAGTAGAATGTGCATGAGGTTGTTTAAGGCGATATGAACACCACAAGAGGTTCTCATGGGACCACGGCTTGCACTTTGCTGGTTAAACGTGCAGGAGTATTGCGCCACCTGGTGCTAATGGATTTGAACCTAACACTTCCCATGGTCCATGAACCCTCCTCCACACACAGACCACCTACCTCGGACTAGAACCCAACCAGACCTTGTATGGATGACATAAATAAAGGTGACCGCTGACAAATCTTTGTGAAGGAAGTGGCTACAGCTCACAAGTATTTCATACACTGCCTTTGAATCAAATTCAGCCAAATGTGCAACAAAACAATCACTAAACATGAAAATCCCATTTAAGTCAAACACGTTTCCATGCATTTAGAACATGGCTATGCTTGTATGTGGTTTAAAATAATAAATGCCTATAATGTCAATGAGACAGTAGACATGAAAACATAGGCCTAGTTTTACAGGGAGAGAACTACAGGGCTGAGTTTAAGGGGAATCATCTACTTAACCGGAGGACATTAAGGAGGTGAAAGGTTGGGCAACGTGGTGGACCAGGAATGAGACACTGCAGATAAACGTGTTGCTGCAACCACAACAGAGTCCTCTGTGGAGAAGGAGGAGGCTAAGATGTACTGTTGTTTTTACAATAGGTCTTTCCATTGTCAATAACACTGGAAACTGAATTGCATATGTAAAAACCTGGATTATCTGGTTCAATGCTTAGGCAGAGTGATGGCTAGGCAGTGTGCTTGTGTGTAGCCTGAAGGAAGAATTCAGACGTATATGCCAAGTGCTTTGGTGCCCTCACATGGCTGGGTTGCCCAAAGGCCAGTTGTTTAGTCACGTCAAAAAGCAAAACCAGAGAATGATGACACTGTACATCGACATAAATTAGTTATATCCTGGACAACGGTTACCAGCCCATCTCTCACAGCCCAAGCCGCACAGAAGCTAAATTACAAGTTTAAACTTGGGAGGATGACCAGAATGTTAGGTGTGGAAGGGGATAAATTCACATTAAAAAGTCTAAGAGCTCTGACAAATCCTCTCGTCTTAAATGTAAATGTCTTGGTTTGAAAAAAGTATAATATTAAATCGCATTACAAATATAAATCAGTTTCTTTTTTACTAAAAAATATTAACATAAAACCAAAATCACAAAAAACTCCATCTGAGAAGTTGAGTACCATTTCCTCAGAATTGGGAGATGGGTTCTGTTTTCATTTAGGGGCAGAAATTTGAAAAGACAAAACAGAAAAAGCACCCTGGACTTCATTATGAGCGTTTTTGCCGCTTGGAATGTCGGTGGCTGGCCCGGTTCTCCTCGTCACTATCCCCGCCATCGCCCCCCCGCTGCCCAGTTCTCCGGTTGTCGCACTCCTCGCCATCGCTCTCCTGCTCCCGGTAGTCCCTCCGGCTGGACGTGGCCACCGCCCGCTTGCTCTTCCTCTTTGCTCCGCCTTCTTCCTCGCTCTCCTCCTCTTCCTTTCTCCTTCCTTTCCTCCTCTGCTCCACCACTGCTTTCCTGGGCCGACCCACCTTGCCTTTCGCATTCTGCATCTTCCGACCCTTCGGCGTCTCCTCCTCTTCTTCCTCCTCCTCCTCTTCATCCTCCGAGACCTGAGGGGTCCGACTGACTCTCTTCCGCTGGCGGCGGCGCAGGTAGCTGAGGCCGGGCAGCAGCTTGTGGAGCAGCTCGGTGAAGCACTGCTCCGTCTTGGCCATGCAGGAGAGCACCGAGCTGCCCGGCTGGTTGTACTCCTCTGCGTTGGAGAACACCAGCTTGACGTCCTCCAGGAAGTCCTGGGCGTGCCGGTACTGGCCCTCGCTGAACTTGGCCTGCATGGTCTGGAAGTCCATGGGGCTGGAGATGATGTCAAAGTAGTCCTCCGCCTCCTCTACTGACACCGGCTCTCTGGAGAGAGGACGGCGAGGTTAGGGGTCAGGTCTACTGTCTCAAATCTAGTTAGCTTGTTACCATTGCCATGGAATTCACATGGACACCTACATTGAACATCTAATCAACTGTCTGATATCTATATAGTTTGTGTCAATGTATGTTGTTACATTGAGATGGGACTCTGTCCAAAGTTAGTTGTGCCAGTCAAGCCATAGTTGAAACACTTTCAGGAGGCATTTCCCAGCTTCACAAATGTTTCACTGCATGCCAGTCTAACTAAGAGACTAGTAGTGCATCAGTCTCACCTGAACGGCCAGCTGTAGCGGAATTTGACCAGTTTCTGCAGGATCTCCTCACTCCTCTCCAGCTCCAGGGCCTGCCGACGCACACCTGTCTTTGAGCTCTGACGCACCTGCAGCAAACCAAACACACCATATTAGTGTTGGGAAGGGGTCAAATGATCTGCATAGAAGCTGGCTTGCACCAGTGTGTCTTTGAGTCACCAGACCAAAGTCTTTCTAACCATGCGTGTTCTCACCATCTCGTCGATTTCTGCAGGGCTGCTAGGGGCGGCCCTCGGTTTACTGGGTTTACTGGGGGGAGAGTGCTTCTTAGAGCCACCCTTACTAGACGCCTTCGATGCTTTAGAGTGCTTGGTCTTCTTCCTTGATCTCACTGGGAAGCAGAAGAGTCTAGGTAAATACACAGACCATCAGGAAAACATTTCAGTCAGCCCCATTTGTTGTACCTGTATGAACTAAGAATAGTGATGAAGCTATAATCACAAGTAAAATGTTAACATTCAGATTCTTTTTTAAATCTCTCAATAGACATCTTAAAACAGATCTCCTCCGTTCTACTAGGTTCATCAACAAGCCCAACTTCTCAGAGGGAGGGAGCCATGTCTAGTCACAAGACCTCAAAATGCACTAAGCCGTATCCTCTCTGTTTGGTTTGCAATGTTATTGCAGTACTATAACCACCAACCACCACTCTCTTCCAAACCCAATTGTGTATGGTTACCTTACGTGCAGGCCAAAAATCAGAGGATCACTCTGCCACATACTGTCAGCCAAGCCGGGGGTGAAAAGCCCGCCAGATCAAAAAAGGGGGGACAACACTCAGACAATGAAGGAGGAAGAGAATGGGCTCCGAATACTGCACCACATTTCTGTCATCCCCATCCCCCTCTGCACCCGTGAAATGGAAAAGTGTCCATTGTTCAAGCTGTTCAGAGTTTTCCCTGGTCTGCTGGTCAGGATAGGAGAAACTCACTTCAGAGTGTAAGGGCTTCTGGGTCAGCACTTATACCCAATTCAATAAATATACAGTGGGTATCATAGATAAGTATGAGTTGGGATTGAAATATATTTCATTGTGAATTTGTCATTGATCTACACAAAATACTCCATAATATCAAAGTGAAAATAACTAAATGTGGAAGAGGTCAAGGGGTGTGAATATACTTTCTGTAAGGTCCCTCAGTCAAGTATTACATTTCAAGCACAGATTCAACTACAAAAACCAGGGAGCATTTCAGTAGCCTCAAAGATGGGCAGTGATTGGTAGGTAAATGGGTAACAATAACAAATCAGACATTAAAATATATCTTTAAGCATGGTCAAGTTAATAATTATGCTGTGGATGATGTATTAAACCACCCAGACACAAAGATACAGTCGTCCTTCTGAACTGAGCTGAAGGACAGGAAGGAAACTGCTCAGGGATGCCACCATGAGACAGTAGGTGATGGGAGAAAACTGAAGATGGATCAACATCGTAGTGACTCCACAATAAAGACCAAAATGACAGAGTGAAAATAATACAAATATACATAATACAAATATTCCAAAACATGCTTCCTTTTATCACAGCAAAGGAATACAAAGTTTGGCCTAAATGAAAAGCCTCATGTTTGGGGCAAATCAAACACGTCATTGAGTAACCGCCTCCTTATTTTCAAGCATGGTGGTGGTTGCGTCATGGTATGGGTATGCTTGACATCCGCAAAGACTGGGGAGTTTTTCAGGATAAAAACAAAACGGGATGGAGCTAAGACCAGGCAAAATCCTAAAGGAAAACCTTCTTCAGTCTGCTTTACACCAGACACTGGGAGAGAAATTCACCTTTCAGCAGGACAATAACCTACAACACACAGCCAAATCTACACTGGCGTTTCTTACCAAGAAGACAGTGAATGTTCCTTAGTGGCCAAGTTACAGTTTTGACTTAAATCTGCTTGAAAATCTATTGGCAAGACTCCCACTAAATTGTAAAAAATTGTTTTAAAAAGAAAATGTCACCAAGGGGGTGAATACTTATGATAGACACTAGGCTGGAACAAAACCCTGCACGTTGGCCACCCTGCTCTCGTCAGTACTGTTACATTGGGTTATGGTAAGTAAGGGTCCCTACAGGAGTCAATAATACTCACAGCTGTGGCCCATGGCCTTGTAATCCTTATCCTCCTCGTCCTCTTCATCAGAGTCCTCAGATTCAGACTCCGCTTCATCCTCAGAATCCTCCTCTTCCTCAGTGTCCTCGTTGTAGTTTCTGGAACAACAAGTAGCCATTAGCATTCTATGTTAAAGAGCGTTCATCCAATTGGTACCCAACAACCACATAACCAGTGTTCTAGCAAAACCCGCTTCTTTCTTTACACGCTGTAGGTTTGGAAGAACATCTGAAACATGGAACAGAATTGTATGATTTTGGGAGGCTCATCAGTGGAGTCAAAATAATAAAACACTAGAGTATTTTCCAAGTGGCTTATACAGCACCATCTTTAGATTGAAACGGCTTGCTCGTCGTGTTTGACGACGAACCAGAAAGTGTAGACACAGCTAAGTATTTAATCCTCCAGTGAGGTGATGTGTGTTATTGTGTGACCCCTACCTTTCGCGGGAGCAGCGTCTTTGCACGGCGGGCTGGCAGGCGGGGCACAGCCACTCCCCTTGAGGGATGCGGTAGAGGGCGGGGCGCAGACAGAACAGGTGGAAGGCCTTGTTGCACTCGTCACACAGGATGAGCTTGTCATCCTCACCTGAAGAAAGGATGGAGGGGAGAGGAGAGATCATCACAAACAGACTCAGTAAGTAGTCATTAACTCAAGACAATGAAATGTGTGAAGTCATTAAGACCAGCAAAAGTTATTCATGTAAAATATTAAATAAGGAGAACCCTCTCTGAACGGACTGCGCGTGCAAAAGCTACAACTGAGAAATCGAACAACGCCCGCGCTGCATCCTTCACAGCCCAGGACCCACAGCTACAAGTTAGGGCCAGAGGTGGTTAATGATTAGAGGTGTAGGAACTATTTTGACAGGGACAGGTGTGAGGAAAAAAACCCTGAGTGGTACACAAAAGGGCTAGGGAGTAGGGGATGATATGGGATTGAGCCAAGGAGCTGCCCCAAGACATCCAGGGTCATTTGGCTAGGGCTCCGTTTACAATGAGACAGCTGGTCAAAACCCCAGGGAGAAGGGTCCCAGAGTGACTTTTGTTTCACTCATTAGCTCACCCATTAGATCTACTAAAACAAGCATTCATCAAAATCATTTATAACCTATATAATCTGTCATTTCCAAATATTTGTAGTTCAAGATAAGGCTACAAGTCATGGCTGACCTGAAATCACTGGGTAGGTTTCCACTACACCAACTCTGCTAATGTCAGATCTGCTACATGGATAGGAGGGAGCGGTGTATTTTCATACAGGACCTTGCGTATTGTACTTCTACTAATTGGTGCTTATATTACTTCAATACTTATACAGGACCTTATACTGTAGTATCCTACTGCTAGTTCACCTGTAGTGTGGCTGTGTGGCAGTGTGTGGTACACCTGCACCTGTCTGACACTACCCTGTCCCTGCTCTGGGCTCGTCCCCCTGCCCTGCCTGGGACTAACCATGTCCCGCAGCACGAGGACAGGTGGCATCAGCCCTGTCCCTGGAGAGAGTACAGGTTGTTATTGGAAGAGAATGTGTTCCAATAACATAACTGGTTAAATCAAGGTAATACATTTACTAGAGCAAAGCTCAACACATAGCTGATAATAACTTCTCTTAGCAACTTCACTTCAGTCATTCAAAGATTCTATTATATTAATTATGCATTTCTGCCTGTTCGAGAGGTCTGACTCAAAGGCCAAAATGTGAAAAATATTGTCCTCTATCCATCGCTTTCTGAGTTTTCTATGCTCCCCAACTATCTAGCTTTGATTTTGATGACTGTAGCAAGCTGCACTGAGCAAAACAACACATTTCACTGCACCTATTGGGTGTATGTGACAATAAAATATTTATTTTAAAAAGAGACTAAATGTAGGTGATTATTTCTACAGTTTCAATTTAGTTTTAGTCATTTCAATGTCGATTAAGATCGTATTTCCACTGAAAGGTTTGTTAATAAAAAAATTTACTCAAACCACCTCGCGGGCCAGATTTGATGGGCTCGCGGGCCTTGTTTGACACCCCTGCTTTAGTGGCAAGTTGTTTGGAATGCAAGATGATTTGTGGATCGCTGAGTCTTCACAGCACCTTGCTCAGGCGGATCATCTCCAACAGGCAGAAAATGACAGTCAAATGCTGTAGTGTAGATCAGGTTTCCCAAACTCTGTCCTGCCCCCCCCACCATCAAGCTTAGATTATTTGAATCAGCTGTGTAGTGCTAGGGCAAAACCCCAAACTTGCACCCGGGGGGCCCTAGGACCGAGTTTGGGAAACTCTGGTGTAGACTCAATACTGTGAAAGGTTTTCTTGACGAAACTTTGGGGCACGGTGCTCTACCGCCACCTAATGATAGATTTCAGCACAACATACAGTGGGGAGAATAAGTATTTGATACATTGCCGATTTTGCAGGTTTTCCTAATTCCAAAGCATGTAGAGGTCTGTATTTTTATCATAGGTACACTTCAACTGTGAGAGACTGAATCTAAAACAAAAATCCAGAAAATCACATTGTATGATTTTTAAGTAATTAATTAGCATTTTATTGCATGACATAAGTATTTGATCACCTACCAACCAGTAAGAATTCCGGCTCTCACAGACCTGTTAGTTTTTATTTAAGAAGCCCTCCTGTTCTCCACTCATTACCTGTATTAACTGCACCTGTTTGAACAAGTTACATCTGTAGCTCAGCTGGTAGAGCACGGCGCTTGTAACGCCAGGGTAGTGGGTTCGATCCCCGGGACCACCCATACACAAAAAAAAAAAAAAAAAATGTATGCACGCATGACTGTAAGTCGCTTTGGATAAAAGCGTCTGCTAAATGGCATATTATTATAAAAGACACCTGTCCACACACTCAAACAAACAGACGCCAACCTCTCCACAATGGCCAAGACCAGAGAGCTGTGTAAGGACATCAGGGATAAAATTGTAGACCTGCACAAGGCTGGGATGGCCTACAGGACAATAGGCAAGCAGCTTGGTGAGAAGGCAACAACTGTTGGCGCAATTATTAGAAAATGGAAGAAGTTCAAGATGACGGTCAATCACCTTCGGTCTGGGGCTCCATGCAAGATCTCACCTCGTGGGGCATCAATGATCATGAGGAAGGTGAGGGATCAGCCCAGAACTACACGGCAGGACCTGGTCAATGACCTGAAGAGAGCTGGGACCACAGTCTCAAAGAAAACCATTAGTAACACACTACGCCGTCATGGATTAAAAACCTGCAGCGCACGCAAGGTCCCCCTGCTCAAGCCAGCGCATGTCCAGGCCCGTCTGAAGTTTGCCAATGACCATCTGGATGATCCAGAGGAGGAATGGGAGAAGGTCATGTGCTCTGATGAGACAAAAATAGCGCTTTTTGGTCTTAACTCCACTCGCCGTGTTTGGAGGAAGAAGGATGAGTACAACCCCAAGAACACCATCCCAACCGTGAAGCATGGAGGTGTAAACATCATTCTTTGGGGATGCTTTTCTGCAAAGGGGACTGGATGACTGCACCGTATTGAGGGGAGGATGGATGGGGCCATGTATCGCGAGATCTTGGCCAACAACCTCCTTCCCTCAGTAAGAGCATTGAAGATGGGTGGTGGCTGGGTCTTCCAGCATGACAACGACCCGAAACACACAGCCAGGGCAACTAAGGAGTGGCTCCGTAAGAAGCATCTCAAGGTCCTGGAGTGGCCTAGCCAGTCTCCAAACCTGAACCGAATCGAAAATCTTTGGAGGGAGCTGAAAGTCCGTATTGCCCAGCGACAGCCCTGAAACCTGAAGGATCTGGAGAAGGTCTGTATGGAGGAGTGGGCCAAAATCCCTGCTGCAGTGTGTGCAAACCTGGTCAAGACCTACAGGAAATGTATGATCTCTGTAATTGCAAACAAAGGTTTCTGTACCAAATATTAAGTTCTGCTTTTCTGATTTATCAAATACTTATGTCATGCAATAAAATGTAAATTCATTACTTAAAAATCATACAATGTGATTTTCTGGATTTTTGTTTTAGATTCAGTCTCTCACAGTTGAAGTGTACCTATGATAAAAATACAGACCTCTACATGCTTTGTAAGTAGGAAAACCTTCAAAATCGGCAGTGTATCAAATACTTGTTCTCCCCACTGTACATATACACTACCGTTCAAAAGTTTGGGGTCACTTAGAAATGTCCTTGTTTTTGAAAGAAAATCTATTTCTGTCCATTAAAAGAACATAAAATTGATCCGAAATACAGTGTAGACATTGTTAATGTTGTAAATGACTATTGTAGCTGGAAACGGCTGATTTTTAATGGAATATCTACATAGGCGTACAGAGGCCCATTATCAGCAACCATCAGTCCTGTGTTCCAATGGCACGTTGTGTTTGCTAATACAAGTTTATCATTTTAAAAAGGCTAATTGATCATTAGAAAACCCTTTTGCAATTATGTTAGCACAATATATATTATTGGTATTTTACCCCCTTTTTTGTCCCAATTTCGTGGTATCCGATTGGTAGTTACAGTCTTGTCCCATCGCTGCAACTCCCGTACGGACACGGGAGAGGCGAAGGTCGAGAGCCGTGCGTCCCCCAAAACACAACCCAACCGAACTGCTTCTTGAGACAGTGCCCGCTTAACCCGGAAGCCAGCCTCACCAATGAGGAAACAATGTACACCTGGCGACCGAGTCAGCGCGCACTGCGCCCGGCACGCCACAGGAGTCGCTAGTGCGCGATGGGACAAGAACATCCCTGCCGGCCAAACCCTCCCCTACCGTGGACGGTGCTGGGCCAATTGTGCGCCACCCCATGGGTCTCCCGGTCGCGGCCGGCTGCGACAGAGCCTGGACTCGAACCAGGATCTCTAGTGGCACAGCTAGCACTGCGATGTAGTGCCTTAGACCACTGCGCCACTCGGGAGGCTGTATTTCTGATCAATTTGATGTTATTTTAATGGACAAAAATGGAAGGACATTTCTAAGTGACCACAAACTTTTGAACGGTAGTGTATATTTTCTACATCTAATTGACTTTAGTGTTAAAATTAGATCCACTTTTAGGATAATTTCTGCAATTGTTTCTTATCAATTGGCATGCGCTTTCCATTGACACCATTTTAAATTCCCCCTTCAGTTTTCGGACTCCCTCACACAGCTCCAGGACATTGAGGATCACTCACCTTTCTTGCGGCAGACCTTGCAGCGTGCGTTCTCTGCCGACATGTCCCACTTGATGCAGGCGTCCAGCATGCCCAGCAGCACGTGCATCCGGGAAAAGGTCTGGGCCTCGCGGATCGCCGTCTTCCATTTCTCGACTGCTGTCGCCACCTGCACGGCAGACAAATTACTATTATTGACTTTTGTTTTTTTAATCTCTTTTATTGTATAGACTTTTACAGAAAAGTATGTGTTTAAAATGCACTTTAAATAAACATGTATTTGATTTGAAAAGACAGTCCTCCTTAAACTCAAATACAGCTTAGGATAGAATAAGCTCTTTAAAACCAGATCAAGGATCAGATTACCCTAGCTTCAATCCTATTCTTAACCATTAGCAGGAAGAAGAAACATTGGATTCTGGATCAGTCATTAGTAATACCCCTTTCATAAATAGACAAATCCCACTTTTTTACCATACCATCTTCTTTATACCATCTTTTGTATATATCTGAAAGGGGTAGGGGGTAAAAAAAAACCAAAAAAAAACATGGTACATTACAACCCACCTCGAGACCTAGTCATGAAACCTTCATTTTCAGACCCTGTAACCAAAAAACTGGTAATGGGCTGTGAGAATAGATCTGTTTTATGCAGGTAAATTCAATGACACCTTCCTAATTTGAATTGCAAACAGGCCCCATGGTTTAACCCCCCCCCATCGAAATTGCCAATTACACACTGACATGTATAAAAGGGGTTATACTTGCAAGAAAGTGATAAATAAGGGGCTGTTTGAAAGGGGGTTGCCTTGTTTTTATTATAGGTAACATACCATGTTCTGTCTAAAATAGGTATTACTCACCCTGGCCTCCTCCGCCAGCTTCTTCTCCTCATCCACCTCCTCTGTCTTCCTGCTCTCCTCCCCTTCCTGCTTCTTCTTCTTCTTCTGCTTGGGGGCCATGAAGCCCTGCAGGAACTTCTTGATGACGCAAGCCTGGAGGGTGATGACACACTCCCCAAAGTCCTTCAGGTTCTCCAGGTCACGCACCTGAACACACAAAGAGAAAGAGACAGGGGTCAGAGGGGAAAGGTCAATTTCAGATGTCATACTTTGCTGAATGTGCAACACACAAAGAAAAATACAGGTAAATGGGCATTGAGGAAGCTCTTGAAAAGTTGGTAGATACAAAATAATGTGTACGGCCATTAGTTTTTCCTGACCATATGACCTGACCAGATAAGTGATCAGGATAAACTCCTGATTCAAAACATGTGAATTGATTGTATGAATAAATAGTTACCTTCTTCTCAAACTCATCCATGCTGTCGTCCATGTAGCCCAGGCCGCCCTTCTGGAGGCGCGAGGCCACCTCGATGACGTCGCTGCGCAGGTATTTGAGCAGCTCCTGGTGGCCATCGCAGCTCCTCAGCCCCGGGTTCCCCTTGCGGGCCAGGTTGATAGAGTGGAGGATGTCCTGGTACCTGTCAGCGTACAACACCCAGTCAGTCAGTCACACTTACCTGATCCATGTGACCTAACCAGGAAAAACTCTGGGCTATTTGCATAAATTGGACAACTTTTAAAAAGTGTGGAGTCGCTCACAAGGCAGTCATTGGGTGAGTGAGTGAATTCGTGGATGGTTTGTAGAATGTAAGGCTCACGTCTCCTCACCTGACTTGCAGCTTGGTCTTCAGCTCGCTTTCTCTCACACCCTGTGCATGGAGACTCTCCACCAGGTCATCGAGGTCCCGTGGAGCATCACACACAAACCTTCAACACAACAAACACAAGCTTGGTGTAAACACATAGTATGTCCAAGCACAAATATAATAATCTGCTCTCTGGTGTAAGTATTGTTTCAACATTGTTATTGAAAGACACACAAATTGTTTTAGTTATCAAGTCAACCAATGACCATTCTCTGCTAGTGAGTTTCTTACCAGAGGTTCTGTCCCTGATTGGGAGTGGTGGTCTCGATGCAGACAGCGGCTGGTGCCCCCTGGTGGGCTCCCTCGCTCAGAGCACCATCTAGACTGCCACCGTCCTCCTCAACATCTGCAGGACCAGCAACAGAACAGGGTAGTGTTCAGTAGGCACAAAACCGAAGAAAGTGAGGGACTATCTGAACTTGACCAATAAGTTTATATGTTTTTCCTGTTGCACTACGTTTTTCTACGGTGTGCCCTAATGAATACGACCCAAGTTTAACGATGCAACTACAACAAAACCATCTACAACTAATAATACCAATAAATTATATTTTGGGGTTCACAGCAAATTCTAAAAATGTTTTTGACATGGTCAAATAACTCAAGCATAGATTGGTAACTTGGTTTCTAAGTTGGCACACAGAAACCACAGGGCCATGAGTAATGTAGTCAAAAAGAATGGCACTGACTGGCCTATAGGTGGCACTGTTGTAAGAGGTGTCACTTAAACCCTCATATCAGCCGCCCTGTTTGACCTAGAGACTAAACTTTGTATGTAGGCGTCTTTTACATGCTGAACAAACGTGCTTCGAGGACCCATAAGGTCCGTAGGCCTCTCTTAACTTCAGGGTTCATACACATTTTGACAGATGGAATTTCATGACTTTTAACCAAATTTCCATGACCAACCGTTAGCGTAGTCTATGTGCGTATAACAAAAGTATGCGTAATGTGGTATTGACACAGAGGCTGCTCTCTGTACCATCTCCTGTCGTTGTGCAAGGCACTTAACCCCCCACAAAGTAGAATACCAGTTAGGCAACTGTATAACACGTGGTCAACACTCTGGGTGTGCAGGCTTTTGATCAAGCTCTGCTCAAACACAGAGGGGGACTGGAATAAAAGCCTACACACCCACTAGCTGTCCTGTATAACATTGCAACCAAATACGTTACGCCTTTTGAAATAATTCACTAATTTAATACATCAAAGATCAAAAATGGCTATGTTAGGCTACAAATATTTTTATTCAGCTGAAGCAAGCCCACAAATTTTCTTCAGTAAATTTACCTTTTTAGTTTAGTCATACCTTAGAAGTGTTTACTTTGCAGGCTGACTAGAATTTATTGAGTTACAATGTCCTATACATTGGATGCCCAAATCAACTGGAAGTATCTCCAAAAGTTTTGAAGCCACATAATCCAAAAGAAAGGCTACATCTAATCTTTTTTTCCACCTAATATTACTGTTTGCGATTCACACATTTTAATTTTTATTCACATTCGATTCATCGTGATTGAACCAAATCCCAACTAATACAATGGCGAAGTGAATCGCTTGTTATAAACAATAATTGTTTAAATGAATCAACTTTGTATGGCCTTGTTCGCAAGTGTTGGCGGAAAGTTTTTTGGGACATGACGAAAACATACATGCTAATAATAGCTAAACAGTTAACTACAGGGTAAATATGTTTTAAATTGGCTACCTATTATTAGTCTGTTCTCGATCATATTTTATAGGCTATATATAGGCCTACCTGCTGCTGCAATGTCTGACCGTCTCCCTTTCCTTGAGCAACTGACCACTCCTCTGGCATGCAAGTGATGCGCGCAAACAGACGCGCTAAAGTGTCATTCTGATCCTGGCTGATATGTTGATTTTAATTTGATTTATAAAATATTTAACAGTGCCTAAATAAATTACATTAAGTGAAATTATTAAATTAATTCCCATGACTTTTCCAAAACCTTTCGAATTGTATCATTTTCCAAACTTTTCCAGGCCTGGAAAACATTTAAAAATTCCATGACTTTTCCAGGATTTTCATGACGTACGAACCCCGTAATTTAGTTTGAGAAAAGCTAAGGGATTGGTTAAGACAGCGGTTCTCAAACTAGGGCTTGCCGGATATAAAAATGGGGTCGCGGGAGAATTGAAAAATGTATGCTATTGCTAGCAATCAAGAGGAAAATGACTGAACGACTCAAACACCCCAGCTTATGCTCTCCAAATGGACGTTAGCTGTGAGGGTCGAGATGCCCATGCATTGACTTATGTTCACTATACATGTTGGATGCTATTCACGAGGACATATTGTTCTATCTCACGATTCCCAAGCATGAAACGGTACAGGGGATGTTCAGTGTGCTGCATCACTATATTGACGAAAAACAGATTCCATATGGGATCGAATGATGTGCTTTTGCACTGATGGGGTTCAATCTATGGTGGGATGGCGGGCAGGCCTGTGCACTCTAGTTTTAATGCGTCTCCCTCTGCCATACGGACGCAATGTATGATACATGCAACTGGCAGCACAAAAGCCGAGCACAGAACTCAGAGATATACTGCAGCAGGTAACTTAGATTCTAAACTAAACAAACCAAATCCACTGTGCGCACACCTGTTCGCAAAACTATGTGGAGATATGGGATCAGAGCATGACAATGTTCTATTTCATACCGAGGCTTGGTGGTTATCGAGGGAGAGTGTTGGAAAGATTTTTCACATTGAGAGAGGAACTGTTGCCTTTCACAATGGGTTCCCAATTTTTTTTTTTTTTACAAAAAGACTTGGTTGACTTTCTGTGTAATGAAAATAAAATGTGTATCCTTGCTTATGTAACGGACATATTTGGGAAACTGAATGAACTGAACACAAGCTTGCAGGTGTTTTGGTTCCTGACTCAAAGGGAATACCCTGCCGTCTCCCCCTGAGCATTAATGCCATGTTCAAAACAACTGGGAACATCGGAAAAAACGAGCTCCGACTGGGAAAAATAGTTTTGAACGGTCATCCTACTCAGAATTCCAACTCGGGAGCTCGGGCCTCTTTCTAGAACTCAGACTTTCTGAACTGAAGATCACTAACGTCATGATTTGACCTCATATTTTTCTGAGTTCCCAGTTGTCTTGAAGCACCATAAAACTCATGGGTGAAGCTGGATTAAGTGCTCTCGTCTGCATTAAAACCAAACATTGATCCGGGTTGGATGTGAGAGCAGAGATGAGGTGCACACTGTCGACCACACTCCCTGACTTTGAAAAGCTCCGATGCGACATGCATCAAGCACACCCATCTCATTAGTAGTGGTGCGATGCGATACATTATGTCAGACTAATTTGCAATTGACTGTCATAGCCCCACATTAAAAGTATGTGATGGTGATTTGAGAAATACTGTTAGAATGTTTTTCAATTGACTGCCATATCCCCAAAGGAAAAAATAAACATTGGCTGTTAATAATTACATACTTTTTCCCCCAACATGGTTGGAGTCCAACATTTTCAGATATAAAAATGGGGTCGTTGGCCAAAAAAGTTTGGGAACCCGTAGGTTTAAGAGATGGCTGATTTATTAATAAATAAGGAAAGCAGATTTTACGTGTTCATTTAAATCCTTTGTAAATCCACTCCACAATGCCTTATCAACGTGAAACTAAGTTTGGCATTGATATGTTAAAAAATAAGGAAACTAGTAACAATTCACTTTGACTATGTAACGCTAATGCTCAAAATAATCATTTTTAAAAAATCTTCTCATTGACTAAAAGTCAGATTTACTCCAAATGTAGTATTTTGACTCATCACAATAGTCCCTAAAGAGTTTAAGAAAATAATGTTGACGTATTCAAAGATTGCCACACTATATCAGTGGATGCATATTAGCACATACAGTAATATGCAAAAAATACTTCAAAAATCTTCTCATGAACCAAATAACCAAATAACATGTAGGCCCATGGTACATGTCTTACCTTAGTTTAAAAACAGCTAAGGGTTTGGTCAAAATATGGCTGAGTTATTGACAAATCAGATCTTGTGTCCATTTAAACCACTGTAAATCCACTCCACAGTGGTCTATCAACTTGAAACTTGTTGTCGCTATCATGAATGTCCCTAAAATGAACCACACTGAATTTGGGATTGATATCTAAAACAAGGAAACTATAAGCAACTCATTCTTTGCATATGTAACGCTAATGCTCAAAATCCTCATGAACCATACGTCAGATTCACTCCTGATGTTGTATTTAGATTCATGATTGCACATAAAGATAGTTCCTACATGATAGAGTGCTTGCTTTGTTATTCAACTGATCATGTCCTTTCTGTCATCCTGGGAGCCCAGTTCATTGTTGCTCATAGATATATTTATCAATTATATTTCTTTACTCTTCAGGGACATGAGGCACTATACCTAGCTAGTGAAGAGCATAAGCTGTACTAGTACTAAGGTTTGCAGACTCTCAGCTGTGATGACAGTGTTCTCACCATTAGTCTCCTCTTTGGTGGCCTCCTCGTCCTCAGGCTCGGCTGCAGCCTCCTCCAGGGGGAGGGTGTAGCTGTAGTCAATGCTGTCGTGCACCCAGCCCTTCTCTATGTACAGGCCAGGCACCACATCAGAGAACAGCCAGTACCTAACACACAGACACAAAGAGTTGGATGGTCAATACCGACGGTAATATAAACCAACAGTGACATTAAATCAACTATGTGGTAAAACGGTTTACATTTTACATAGTTGTCGATTTTCTAATATATCCAATGTCTTGGGACCGTTGAGGATGCATGCACTAAACCATACAACTTATGTGCATGTATCAAGAGTCAACTTTAAATGAAACACCTGAACCATTGAAGTGTGCATGCTGGCTGACCTGTTATGGTTTCGATCAGTTCCCAGTGGGATTCTCCTCAGCACCAGTTTGGCTTTGGCGATGCCGTCCTGGAAGGCCCTCTCTGCTGCAGCCTTCTGCTTGCGGACACGCTCCTCCTCCGCCTCCTTCTCCATGCGCTCTGAGGGGAGAGAAACAATTATTTGAGCCTGTGACACTTTTTATAGGCACATCATTCATAACAGAGCATTCCCATTGCATAAATGACCTAAGCAATCATGGACACTCAGCCTTGTTTGGCTCAAATTCAACCATGGTTATCTTATCCTTTCTAATTGTCCCCCACGATGAAATCGGGGAGAGGACTGTGGATCTGTCTCCGTCTGTTAGTACGTTAGTCACACAATCTCAGACCGCATTGGCCCCATTTTGACTAAACTTGTGTGAATGATGAGTCTTACCATAGAGATCTGGCATTAACAAAATTACACTGATTGGTCAGATGGTGGCGCTGTAACAAGAGATTGAAAATGCAAACTTTGAAAGGTTAAGCCCCTCACCCTGTTTGACCTACAGTCGTGAAATGTGGTACATAGGACCCTCTCCTCACACGGAACATATTTGCCTCAGGGACTCATAAGGTCTGTCATGATGGAATTTCTGGCATTTTGAATTTGTGAAAAACACTTAAACACTACTCTTCTGGCACCGAATGACCGATCTGCACAAAACTTCGTATGTGGCATCCATGGACAAAGGTCTCTCAACGCAGTCTTCTCCAGACTATTGACCAATACACTTTCATGTGGTCTGGCACAAAGGACATTCATATTGTAACAACATTAGGTACACAGGTTGCAAACATTGTCAAGACAACATATGCAAGAACATTCATATCGACCACACGGTGGCGCTATAACGGACACGTTTATATCTCTTAATCTGTTTGACTCAGAGTGATGATATTTGGCACACATGCTCAGGGATGAGTCTAGCTAACCAACGAGATCTCAAAAACCAATGGCCCGATTTTGACTAAACTTGAGTGAATGATGCATCTTGCCATAGAGATCTGGCATTGGGGGGGTGCTGCATCATTCACGCCTTTGTTAAGAAATATTTTTCTATGACTAGTGATAGTCTAATGACCAACAACACTTCCGGCTGTCCTTACCCTTGTTCTGTCTGTCCTGCTCCTCCTTTTCCTTCTTGGCCTGGATGGACATCAGCCTCCTACTCTTCACTGTACTGATCATGTCTTCAGGCTCCGCGGCCACCGGCTCTGCTTTCACCTTCTTCACCTCTTTCTTGGCACTACCCTCTTTCTTCTTCTCCATCTTGGCGGTGGCTGACGGCGTATCGCCATTGGCAGCCTCCTCGCCTTTGACCTCGGCTTGTTCCTTGCGCCGCTGCTTCTCAGCCCGCTTGCGGTCGTTGACCTCCTTGAGCGAGGCCAGCCTCTCCTTCCACAGCTCGGCCGAGCGCTGCTGCATGGAGTCCACATGGTCCTCCACCGAGTAGGTCATGAGGATGCGGTGGCACAGTGCCACCAGCAGGCTGGCCTTCTCTGTCGACGTCAGCTCAAACACCTCCACCGCCTCCAGCCGCTCGAGGAACTCGCTGCTTACCACCTGGTCGAAGCCCCCTAGGGGGCCCCAGTCATCCCCCCCAGAGCCCTGGCCCGAGTCATCGCCGTGGGCGTCGCACGGCCGCAGACACAGGCGCACCAGCTCAGAGACAGAGTGGAGCGTGAGGGGGATCTCCGACAGGGGCATGTCCAGCTCGCTGTAGCCCTCGGCCAGCTCATCCTGCAGCAGGGTCTGAAGCAGCACCACCAGCACACGGTTCAGGTAGAGGAAACCTGCCTTCTCCCCGGCCAGAGCCTCCATCAGGGCCACTGCCGTCACCGGGTACTGGTCATCGGGCATCAGCAGGCCCGCGTAGCAGTTGAGGAAGTCTGCCACCATGGCCACGTCTCCGAACAGGGAGTTGGGCAGCCCCTCTGGCATGTCGACCAGCTTGAAGACAGGCAGTGCCTTGCCGCCCTCGATCTCCAGGTCCTCATAGCGGCGCTGCTGCTCTCGGCGCACCTGCAGCTCCTTCTCCCGCCGCTCCTTGGTCTTCTCCCGGAGCTTCTCCTTGATCTCCTTACGTTTCTTCCTCATCACGTCCTGCTTCTCCTCCTCGCTCATGGCCGCCCATTTCTTCTTGTGCTCCAGCAGCTCCCAGCGCTTCAGGACCAGGTCACGGAGCTCCTCGGGCAGCCGGCCCCGGTCCTCAGGCGAGAGGGCCTTGGCCGCCTTGGATATGAGACAGGACATGGCGTTCCTCTTGTCCTCCTTGCCCTTGTTCTCCTTGTAGTAGCGCAGCAGGTGCAGGGCCATGGGGTGCAGGGGCTTGCCCAGTTTGGGGGTCCCTGGGCCAGTGCTCCGGGCTCTCTTCTTGGGGCTTCCGGCAGAGGGAGGGCTCTTGGCCAAGTCCAACAGGGTCATCTGCTTCATCTTAGGCTTCTTAGCGCCCCCACCCTTTTCATCCTTTTTGGAGGACGCCTTCTGACTGCTCTTGCCGGGGGTCTTTTTGCCAGCAGCAGATTTCTTGTCCCCAGGTTTTTTGCTGGATTTTGGAGAGGAGAGGACAGAGGCCCCTCCCTCTCTTTTCTTGGGGGTTCCGGAATTCTTTACCTTCAGAGGCGAGCCATTCATTTTCATCTAAAATATAAATGGATGCATTATTGAATCAATCTAATGCAACACACTAAATATGCAAATTCAATTGAACAACATTTAAATTCTCAAACCCTGTGTCCTATTCCAGGTGAACTCAGATTCTTTATAAAACCACTAAGCCAGCTAAAAATATATGCAAATGAGATTACATCAGCATACATAAAATTTGACAAACCTGCATGTGGCCCCAGATTGTAGGGCTCAGGGGCATGCCGAGAGAATCCTTCTTTTTCTTCTTCTCGTTCCCCGAATTCACTCCTCCTGGGGTGTTCGAGGTCTTCAGCTTCTTACTGGGTTTGCCCTCCGTTGAGCTCAGGCTCTTGCGCTTGGTTGAGACGGGATTCTCTGCAAAAAACTAGAAGGCAAACAAAACTACTAGTCACATATTTAAAAACAAATGTAATATAAAATCTTAAATACAATGCCTTCAGAAAGTATTCACACCCCTTGACTTAAGTTGCATGGACTCACCCGGTGTGCAATAATAGAGTTGATGATTTAATGACTACCTCATCCCTGTACCCCACACATACAATTATCTGTACGGCTCCTCAGTCGAGCAGTGAATTTCAAACAGATTCAACCACAAAGACCAGGGAGGTTTTCCAAAGCGTCGCAAAGAAGGGCACCTATTGGTAGGTGTTTTTTATTTATTTAAAGCAGACATTGAATATCCCTTTGAACATGGTGACGTTATTAAATCACACTTTGGATGGTGTATCAATACATCCAGTCACTACAAAGATACAGGCTTCCTTCCTAACTCAGTTGCCGAAGAGGAAGGAAACCAGTCAGGGATTTCACCATGAGGCCAATCAATGGGGCCTTTAAAACAGTTACAGAGTTTAATGGCTGCGATAGGAGAAAACTGAGGATGGATCAACAACATTGTAGTTACTCCACAATACTAACCTAATTGACAGAGTGAAAAGGAAGCCTGTGCAAAATACAAATATTCCAAAACAAGCATCCTGTTTGCAACAAGGCACTGAAGTAATACCGCAAAAAATATGGCAAAGCAATTCACTTTTTCTCCTGAATACAAAGTGTTCTGTTTAGGGCAACTCCAATACAACACATTACGGAGTACCACTCTCCATATTTTCGAGCATAGTAATGGCTGCATCATGTTATGGGTATAATTGTAATCGTTAAAGACTGGGGAGTTTTTCAGGATAAAAAAGACAGAATGGAGCTAAGCACAGGCAAAATACTAGAGGAAAACCTGGTTCAGTCTGCTTTCCACCAGACACTGGGAGTTGAATTCACCTTACCCCAAAACACAAGACCAAATCTACACTGGAGTTGCTTAGTTTTGACTTAAATCTACTTGAAAATGGTTGTATAGCAATGATCAACAACCAATTCGACAGAGCTTGAAGAATTTTGAAAATAATAAATAAATACGGCCAAATGTTGCACAATCAGGTGTACCCAGAAAGACTCACAGCTGTAATCGCTGCCAAAGGTGCTTCTACAAAGTATTGACTCAGGGCTGTGAATACTAATTTAAAATGAGATTTCTGTATTTAATTTTCAATAATGTTTTCACCCTGTCATTATGGGGTATTGTGTGTAGACGGGTGAGATAAAATATATTTTGAATTTAGGCTGTAAGAACAAAATGTGGAATAAGTCAATGGGTATGAATACTTTTTAAAGGCAATGTATGATGCCGTTTTGTCTTACATCTACATGTTCATTTTTCATCACATAATCGAGAGCTCCTATATCAACAGGAGATTATGTGGAGGTTTTTGGACCAAGAAAAAGTAAAACACCATATAAATCTAGGTTTACCTTGTGTGGATCCAGGAGGAAGTCGCTGAATTTGCTGGGCAGGTTGAACTTCTTCACCAGTTCATCCTCCACCACCCAGGGGGCCGTCTCTCCTATCCCAAGCCGGAGTGCATAGTGGCGGATGAAGTAGCGCATGATCTCCTTGGTCGGAGGGCGCTCAGTCCGGAAGAGGCTGTCCACTGGGACATCACTGATGACCTGTTGGTGTAGGGTTTAAAAATGTATATAAATTACATAACATAGACACCAGTGTTGTGTTCATTACAGCATGCAATGGAAAACGTTTTAAATCTATTTGGTAACGGAAAACAAAAACGTGTGTCTCTATTCAACAAGTTCAGGTGGCCCTTCCTGTTTCAATCCATTTTCTTCCATTTTGTAACCAATGAACACGACCCAGTTACCTAAAACATATACACTTGATGGCCGGAGGTGAACAACAGACATTTTAAAGCAGTGGAGAGGACACCAACCTTGTCCTCACTGATCAGCTTCACGTCGTACTTGTGTGGCAGGAACTTTGGCATCACCCATCTCTTCTTCTCCTCCTTCATAGCGGTGGGAGTTTTCCTGGGGGAGCGCCGTGCTCGGTCACCTAATGGCAAACAAGCACCCAGTATATTTTAACACTCATGTACATTTTTGGGATCAGGTCAGTGTGGATCCTATGCTATTTTTACATGTACATTTTAATTAAAGAAAAGTTTATCCAGGTTTGTCCAATTGACATCAAATCTCTTTAATATGTGAAAATAGCCGTCTCTAAACTAGCCCACGTCTTAAAGCTTCATGTGCTGTGTTGTAGGGATGTAACTTATTTTTTTGTGCATTTCAATCAGGGGTGCCAAACTCATTCCATGGAGGGCCTAATGTCTGCTGGTTTTTGGTTACAATTAAGACCTAGACAACCAGGTGAGGGGAGTTCCTTACTAATTAGTGACCTTAATTCATCAATCAAGTACAAGAGGGAGCGAAAACCCGCAGACACTCAGCCCTTCATGGAATGAGTTTGACACATGGTTTAAACTGACACGTTTTTAAAAAAAAAATGTTTTATCGGTTTTCCGTTTAAACTAAAAAGAAAATCAATTCAATCAATTCACAATGAAGCTGCGCTGCTGCCAGCAAGGGTTTGGGTCGCACAGTGCGTCCCTTTCAGATGGTTAAGCATTGCACCTGTACCTCAATGCCACCTCTCAAAGTTTACATTTCCTTCTCATTTTACTTCTCAAAGTATTGCCATACAGGACTTCTCTGCTGGCGCTTGCCTCTCTGCTATTTTCCCCAACATAACGATGACGTAGTGGCGGCTAGTCGATTCCAAAATAATTGATTCCTCGACTCCTTGCACGTCGACTCCCATTTCAGAGTGTCAAGATTAGATTCCGCTAGGAATCAACTCCTAAGATTCAGTACTTTTGGAACGGAGGAGACTGATTAGTTGCCGTACTTCCGAGAACACAAACACTTGCATCTTTCATAGCGAGCTAGCGAGGGACGGAGAGAGAGGGGAGGGGCATAATATAGGCAGGTCGGCCACCAGGCAGACAGAGTCAGAACCATGCACTAGGCCTATCTACCGGCAATCAAAAGCTGTATCTCGCAATGGAATGCTGTAGTTCACCATTTCTTCACTTCTGTAAAGGGCCTATCAAAGAATAGGTTAGGATAGAGATGAGCACGATGCAACACGTCGCTCTCATACAGTCACTGCGCATCTGCACGGGTTCGCTTCACACTGTTCACAGCGTGGTAGCCTGGGCACCAAAACAGTGGCGAAGTTGAGCCTTGCGCTTCAACGCTCTTAGTTGTTGCATAAATTTACCCACTATGCTGTTTACTTTCTGCATCTACTTCATATCGCTGAGTCTACCTTTAAATTTACAAAACTTTCCCCAGTCCTTTATAGCCTATCGTCTAGTTAAGGCTATAACCGAGAAAATAATGTTTTGTTATAACTGCACTGTAATTTACATTCTGTAGGGAAAAAAATAAAAACGGTCAGGGATTTTTCTTAATGTGAAGGATCCCAATTTCGTTTTAAACTTTTACACCCCTACTGTGTTGTGGATTTTGGTGTAGGTTACCCAAAATCTAATAATTTTATTTGTTAGCACAACATGACCCAAAGGTGCTATACTCACTGAGGCTCTCTCTCCTGCTTTCCCTGGGGCTCTCCTCCTCTCTGGACAGCTGTTGTTCCTTCTTCTGGTTCTCCTGGCTGGCATTCTCCTTGTCGCTGGAAGGAGAGTCGCAGGCTCCCTCTAGCTTCTTCTCCGACGTTTCCCCCTCAGCATTCCCCTCAAGGGGCTGTATCTTCACGACCTTAACCCGCAAACTCTTTTCCTTCCCCACCTAAAAACACCAAAATGAATTGGGGGAGGGGGGTAAAAAGGTATTTCAGATCAAATACGTGCAAAAATGTGTAAAATTGGGTGCATTTCATTTTCTATCAACATATTTTCCATTAACAGTATTTCTTCCACCTTCATTGACTACCATCTCACCACATGAAAACAAACATCCACAGCATTAGACCAAAATAAAAAGAACCTCACCAGAAAGTCACACTCTTCGTCTACGGCGTATTTGGTGAGGATCTCCACCCAGGCCTGGTCCACCAGCTTGTCCAGGGAGACCGTGTTGTGATGAACCATCTCCAGGACGGGCTTCTCGAACCATAGTGGGTACTCCTCCTGAAGCCTGGACATAAAACACTCATGTCAAACATCTCATTTATCTAACAACACTCAATTTAAAATGAGTGCTAACTGGGTCCCGTTTAGCTCAGTTGGTAGAGCATGGCGTTTGCAACACCAGGGTTGTGGGTTCGATTCCCACGGGGGGCCAGTATGGGATTTTTTTTATTTATTATATATATATATATATATATATATATATATATATATATACACTCACTAACTAAGTCGCTCTGGATAAGAGCGTCTGCTAAATGACTAAAATGTAAACTGATTTGGGTTTATTGGTGAACTTTCACTCAACTAATTTTGACAGATTGCGGCTTTGTGTGGCTATTGCTATTTGCACTATTCACACTAATCTAGTATGATACATGCCATTTAGCAGACGCTTTTATCCAAAGCAACTTAGTCATGCGTGCATACATTTTTACGTATGAGTGGTCCCAGGGATCAAACCCACTACCCTGGCGTTACAAGTGCCATGCTCTACCAATTGTGCTACAGAGGACTGCAAATGCTTTCATTTCATTCATAAACATGCACGCAGCAGTCTGAGCCGAGGAATACATACAAATGGTAACGCCTCAATGAAACAGACTGTACAGTGTTCACAACCACTTCTCCAACAGGGGGAGACAATTCAAACCCTGACTACCCTGCTTGGTATAAATAGACATCTTTAAATACGGCTGCTGATCCTGCCTGGCCTGCGCAGAGGGTGCTGGTGGAGCACAGCCTGGCTGTGGCACTAACCTGAGGTCATTCGTGTACACACAGAACTCACAAAGTTTCACACCCTCCCACAGCGCAGCACTTAATGCCACAGCAGCCAATCTGGACACACTGTACTGAAACGTATCAAACGAGAGAACCTAGACCTTGTCTATAAACATTCCCTAATCAAATCCCTTCAGATGGACACAAATGCCTAGGGTTTAGGGGGGGGGGGGGGGGTGAAGTGCTAGGGGTTGTTTCTGGACCAGACACTTATTTTGCACTCTCCTCTTTTCATTAAATAAAATGAAGGCTTTCTCCCTGTCACTGGATTCCAGGATGACTCAATCTATACGTCCTGCAAAAAGAAAGGAGGCGCACAGGGAACGTCCAATAACAACACAGCTGTGAATCATGTGACCTTCAACGGGAGACAGTGAGCTGTGGGTGCTACAGATGGAGCTGCACTGATATTTTTTGCCTCTGTATGTAATGACGATTTATATTTATTTTGAAACAGGGCATTTCTGTTAGCGGTCGTAATGTCGCTCAAGCTAGACTTGCTTGTTACTCACAGTTCAGTGACTTCTTGCTCCTCCTCCCAGGCCTCCTTGTGTGTGAGCTGGTTGCTGCCGGTACTCTTGCATGTCCAGATGCGTTCGGCATATCTCTGCAAGCGCGCCTCATACTCTCTGTAGCCATTTCATCAGGATAACAACAACATATATTCTCCTCAAATTATCATACAGTCTCATAGTGTGAGTACTAGGATACAGGATAGGAACAGCCACTTAGTCACTTGACTCAGTTAGCTCTACGGCAAACCCAGAGTCCCCCCCATTCATAATTAATTAATCATGTTAGCAGCAATTGATCTCAATAATTTAAAAGGGTGTGAGGGACGTCCCACACCACACATACATTCGGGATCCTTTCATAACTGAGCCAAAGTGCAGGGTAATCACCATAAACACTGTGCTCCAACTGAGACTAAATCTGTAGGGACTAAGCAATGTGTTAAGTCGTGTCCTGATATCATTATCACTTTGGCATCTATAACCCCAATGGCTATAGGCTAGATGTTTAGCAGTACAAACTTTACTCATTATATTACACTGACTGAGAAAATGCAGAGCACAAACGTTTTGGGTTGATGATGCTGTGCACTGGGATAGTAGTATTAGGGTTTGCTTACAGGTGGCACATAATTTGCTGTTTATCAGATAAGGTTATTGTACTGTACCTTTAGACTAGAGACAAAAAATGGTGATGATGGCCTAGTGAGTTATGCAGCCTCAAGGAGCAATACATTATGTCAAACTCACGTGGGGCACCAAAATACTTCTGTAACTATTGTATTGAACTGCATTGTTATTACACAGTTGAACAACCTGAACGATGCATGTTTAATATCAATAGGGCATGCCAGGCAGCACTTGATTGGAAAGTGATTCACGAACACGTTTGCTTTTTTCTTACAAGTCATATAACAACAGTTGTATTTCCAACAAGTCAAACTTGCCAGTTTTTTCTGCAAGTCAAATCCGACCGATTTGATCATGAGCTAGTGTCAGAACTGACGTGATGTAATCTGTGACGTTTTCTGTCTGTAGTTAGCTGCTTGCTCTTCAGTCTACTCTGTAAAGTTAGCTAGCTATGCTAACAAACGCGCCACAGAGGCGACATGACAAACTCAAAGAGACCGTGAGAATCACCCAAACCAGTTATGCATAATCAACTAGATAACTGGATTGTGCAATTCTCAAATAATATTATTAGTAGTTAGCCACCGTTTGTCTAGTTAGCTAGTTTTAAAAAGAGAACACAACTTTGGCTACGAAATAACAATGTGTGCTCATATTACGACACAGGGAAAACAATCCCAAAGAAGCACAACAAATTCAACATAGCTACAGTATTTAGTTATTAAACTTCAGGAGGTGAATAACATTTTAAATACTGACAAAATGCAATGTCCCAATTAGTGTGTACAATGGTTGTACTTTGATAGTCAGCTAGCTAGCTGGCGAACCGAGTCGGCTTTGCCATAATGTGAAAGGATACTCTTTGTTCCTGAAGGCCTCCTTGGTGTGTTCGATGATGTAGACCTCCTCCTCTGGGCCTGGCAGCTCCGCTAGCGGCTTAATCAGCGGGTAGGGTTTCCGGCCCAGCAGTGGTGCCATCCTGAGTACGAAACGGCAGCGATGACGTCTTTAAAAATAAAACTCCTAGCACAAAACTACGCAAAATATGACAATATGGCCTTAGCATGTAGTCAAGTATCCACAAATATTCCAGGAGCATTCAACGTGTAGCATCTAGCTAGCTAACCTAGCAAGCTAGCTAGTCGGCTAAATCTTCGCTGCAAAACAATAACACAGCACTTCTTGCTAGCAGTCAAATCGCATTCTTGTTCTGTTCGCTGGTAGTTGTGTCATTGTTTATCAACAGGAACTTGTCAAAAACAGCTGTTTAAAAATGTACACTGAGAATGGACTCTTCGGGTAGGCTACACGGATAAACTTCTGCTAGCTAGTCCGAAAGGAGGATGGAGAGGCGAGCTGACAGGATTCTCGAACTCGCGGCAACAGCGGAGGTTCCCGTCAGGGGGTCTGGCGCGCTCTCTACACTCCGTTCTCCAAAGACTAGGCCTCTTCTCATGGAGTGAATTTGTTTGACTCGCAGTTTCCGTCCTTGAAAGTTGAAGTTGTTACAATAATAGAAAAGGGTTGTAATAACTTAATTGAAATATGCAAGAGGTTAACACCTGGGTTGAAAAAATGGCGGGAGTTCCCGCCCGGCAAAATTCTGCACAACCCCCAAAACTCAGTTCCCCCCGCAGCAAACGGCGTCGTATGGATTTAACCCGCCCCTCTCTCTTTCGATTGGTCTCACAAAGAGCGATCCTATTGGCGTCTTCTAGCTTGTGTTTGCATATTTCCGTTAGGGAACGCCTACTCTGTGCAGTGCGCGTGTGCAATAACTCACTTCGCCCTTGCACTCGTTCTAAACAACGCACATTTTTTATAAACTTTGGCAAAGGGTAAAATCTACTAAATTTAGTCCACTCTGTTCGTAACAGATTTTCGTTTTGGGGAACAGAAAACTGTATTGAGATTAAATGTTTATTCGGTGAGAAGATTAGCATAATGTCGGCCAAAATCCATCTCGCTCCATCTTCTCCCGCTGCCGGCACTGGGCTTCCTCTCATCACCATATATTGTAGGGATTGGAAACGCCAACCGGATGCATCACATTTACACATCCGGTGAAATATCTGTCTCATTGTTAAATCTGTGACTACAAACTGGCGAGGTCTAGCACAGATAGAATAATGAGACAGATATTTCACTGGACGGACATATGCAAATGAGGCTAGTACGCGCCAATAGGACCTCTCTAGATCGTGCTTGGCTCTGCCCACCTCCTTGCTTCTTACCATTATGACTCATTTGTTCGCGTTTAAAATGACAGCTGTGGTCTATCCTGGTTATAAAAAATCTTTGGCTCTATTGTTTCCAACCGTACTTCAAAATGATGCCCTCCTCTAGAATGAAACGTCGTGGAGCCAGTTTCATAACCCCAGTATACCGCTGTTGTGTCAACATATTATTTCAAATGACAAGTAATTTTAGACACGCGATTTATTGATTTTAATTGTTCATTTGTCACTATCTTGGGTTACTTATAAAAAATCTTTGTTGTAGTCCTAAAACACGGAAATGACTTACCTCTGGTTCGTTCGGCCACATTTTCTAAACAACATTATAATCACCTCCAACAATAATGTTATCGGTTGAATATTTGTTTTTCAACTACGTTAAGACTTTACTAATAGATGTTAGAAGAATATTGTTTTTTGACCGTATGGTATAACCATAACTATTTACCAATATGGAATGTGACCCTTTACATTCGAAAACAATAATTATCCAGTGACCCTCATCATCACACCTGCTTTCTAAAACTACCTGGAAAACGCCACACCAGTAGAATGAGATGAGCCATGGCTAAAAATGATCTTGTCACCCCATTGTGAAGTCCAACATTTTAAGTCAGCATCTGAGGAATGTGTCTCTTGAAATAAAAAAACAATTGGACATTAATTAATCTTTACAAAAACTAAAAATAGCCTTGTGTTTTGTATTGTTATGTAAACCCCTGGTGTTCAAGGATAAAAAGGAAAGATAAATGTTGAACAGAAGAGTATCCAAGAAAAATAGTTGTCTAGAATAAACAGGGACCATTATTCTTTCCTTTTGTTTTGATAATGACGAGATTTTCTAAAGCATACTGGAAATGTTACTCTTTTCTTTTGAAGAATGAGTCATTTTGTTTACAGTCTAAAGCTCTTATCAGAGAGACCTGTCTCCATGCTGCTCTTTCTTCTACTAACAAATGGGAAATTATTAAATTCAGAATTTGATGTCTTGCCATCACTACTGGTAAAATGCTAGCTTGGAAAAGATTCTCCAAGCAGATGGATATTATTGTTGATATTAACAGGCTGAGCAATAAACTTGATTTAAATGAAGATGAAAAAGCAGAGCTTGCTAAATGCCAATGTGAACTGGACGACATATACAACGATAAGGCACAGGGTGCCTTCATCCGTTCAAAGGCCAAATGGATTGAGAAGGTGAAGAAAACACTATTTTATTATTTCTTTAATTTGGAGAAGAATAGGCAGACTAGGAATAGTATTTCATCCATTTACGTAAATTACACTATATCTGATGATCTTGAAGTGATTAATAAGAAAATACACTCTTTCTACAGTACACTGTATCAATCTCATCTTTTGGAAGGCGACTTGGATTCCTTTTTGATTCAGTTAATAACTCTGTTAAGCCTATAGAAGAAAGGTTTAAGAAACTCTGTGATTCTGATATAGATATTACTGTTGGACCAAGCCATTAAACAAATGCCTATAGGTAAATCTCCTGGACTGGATGGCCTGACTCCTGAATTCTATCGACATTTTTGGTTATTGCTTTCGGTCTTATTGCTTTCGGTCTACAAAGAGGGTATTGCTAATGCTATCTTACCTCCTTCTTTAAGACAGGGACTAATAGTTATTATACCAAAACCAAAGAGGGACTCTCTTTACCTGGACAATTGGAGACTATTAACGTTGTTGGTAACTGACTATAAGTTACTAGCCCATGTCTATGCCAATAGGCTGCAAAAAGGCCTTGATGATATAATCAGTGAAACTCAATGAGCCTTAATTAAATATGCCATTTAGCAGACGCTTTTATCCAAAGCGACTTACAGTCATGCGTGCATACATTTTTGTGTATGGGTGGTCCCGGGGATCGAACCCACTACCCTGGCGTTACAAGCGCCGTGCTCTACCAGCTGAGCTACAGAGGACTCCTTCATTAAAGGAAGGAGTATTCATAACCATATACGATTGGTTTTTAGATATTTTAGATTACAATGAGTTCATAGAAGATGATGGCTTTATATTGTTAAAACATTTTTTTAAGGCTTTTGAAACTTTAGAGCACAACTTTTTATTTAGAACTCTCTACTTTTGGGTTTGGGGAGAATTTCTGTAAAGTGATAAGGATTATATATAATGATATTAGCAGTTCAGTGACTATGAGTAATGGCACATCCCCTCGTTTCTCTATTACTAGAGGAATTAGACAGGGTTGTCCAATCTCCCCTCTTTTATTTATTTTAGCCACAGATTTACTAGCCGTATTTCTTAACAAATTTGAGAATTTAAAAGGGATCCGCATTTTTGGTAAAGATATGAATATCAGTCAATTTGCAGATGATACTGCCCTTTTCCTAAAGGATAGGGCGGCTATTCCCTTGGCTATTGACAGAATCAAGAAATGTTCTATGGCCTCTGGGTTGACCCTCAACCTTAACAAATGTGATCTCATGCCAATTCATTGGTGTGACTCCATCAACATTGCCTCCATATCTGTTATTTAGGAATTGTTATCACTAAAAACGTTTCAGAAAGAGAATCTTTAAACATCGATAATAGGATTAATTCCATGAGAGTTTCATTAAGTCAGTGGCTGCAACGTGATATCTCAATTTTGGGTCGTATTCTTTTGTCCAAGACTGATGGTTTATCTAGAATCATTTACCCAAGTCAGTCCCTTTTTCTTTCTTCTAATAATGTCAAAAAAGTCAATTCTGTTATATTTAGATTTGTTTGGAGGAATAAAACGCATTATATTTGGAAATCTCAATTAGTGAAAGACTATGATCGTGGAGGTTTACAGGCTATTGATTTTGAGTCGTTAGTGGGTACTTTTAGAATTAAATGGTTGAAATGATGTCTGTCTAATCCTACCTCTATGTGGTATCATATCCCCAACAGTCTGTTTAATAAACTTGGTGGACTTGAATTCCTAATTAAATGTGATTTTGACCCTCCAAAATTACCTGCGAAAATGTCTAAGTTTCACCAGCAAATTTTATGTTTCTGGAAAATGATATTCAAGCACCATTTTTCCCCCCATAAAACATTGATTTGGAATAATAGAGTTATTAAAATTAATAGGAAATCCATTTTCAAAGGCCTTTGTTTTGACAAGGGTATTCATTTTGTATGTGATTTGTTAGACAACACTGGGGAGTTTCTGCCGTTTGATGAGTTCATTGGTACATTTTAGGTAATTATTACTCAGAGAGAATATATGAAGGTTTGCAAAGCAATTCCACTTCCTTTACTTGGACTTATTAAGAACTTTTTGTTATATTATGAGGTTGTTCCCACTTTTCCAAGTTGAAAAATGAATGACTTTAACCTTTTGGATAAAAAATTCAACAATAAGTGGATATGATTGGCAGTTAATTAAGTAATTTTTGGTGATTATAATTCAATATATTGCTATGGAAGTGACCAACCCATGCTATGGTCAAAAGCGACTACCTTTTACCTTAATTGTCCAGTTATCCCAAAAGTTAAAGAAACTAATTAAAAAATATACCTGTTTAATGATTTCTTGCACAAAAGATTCAATTTTGGCAAAATACCTTGTGTTTTTTGTTCCTCTGATTCAGAATCTATAGAGCATTAATTTAATTAATGATTTTTTTCATGCTGCCATTCTAGTGAACTATGGATTGAAATTAATGAATGGTCGTGTATAAAATCTCCAGAATGACATATGTTTACCTTTGATGATGTTAAATGGCATTATGCTTATCC